CAGCAGGAAGATTCTGGCCAATTCAGATTCATATAGTATAGTGCCACTTAACAAACTTAGACTTTTAGAACGTCTACATATACAGTAAGTTTTATGTACGAGGAGATTTCTCTTTCGCCTGAACGAGTAAAATAACAGTCTGAGGTGTAAACCTCTCCGACAGTCAACAGACTTGAAGATTTATATTCTACACATACTTCAAAACAAACTCAACACAGGGTTGTTTGTGTGTTATGTACTGATGATATATATTCCATGTCAATTAATGACTGGAAAGTAGATTCCCAGCAAGTTAGTGTCTGATAATGTCAGTTATCTACTCTGGCTTTATAACATGCCTTTTGACATAAAGCTGGAGGCCATTTAACCACATAGTTTTCAATAATTACATCTGTTCAGTGTAAACCAATAGAGAGCCTGACTCTGCTGAAATCACACAGCGTCCAGAGGCTTCCAGAGATGGACATTTCCCATCATATGCCCAATAGTTGTGTAATAGGATTTCAAGAATTTTAATTTTCCCACTTTTAATACAATTTCCCCAGACCTCTTGTGCTTCAGCTTGTTAAACAGAGGTTGTATGGATTAGTTGTATCCTTTGCTAGATATCCCTACAGGACTGCTGTTGCACAACAAGTTTGTATCTGGTTGCAAGCCCATACACCTCTGCACCAATGGCAAATACTTTTCCATCATTCTTAATACCCGAGCGATGTGATAGCTCCCAAGCTAAGACTAGCAACTGATTGCTGAAGCAAAGTATTAATGGTTAGTTTCCAAGTCTGGCGTAAAGCAGTGAATCACAAAAATTACATTATGGGTCTTTTTTCAAGAGCAAACACTTGTCCTGGAATAAAGAACTAATATAAAGTCTGAAGTTCAGTACGCCCTTGAGGTTAACACCTTCACAAGCCTATATGCTAATATATATACATGTCAGCATAATAATGCCTGGAAGCAGCCTGGGGACAAACATACTGTAGAATGGTTGCATTAATGTGGAATACAGCTAGCTGCAATGTATAAGCAGTATTTGTAATCAATTGGGAAGGACTCCCATAAAGTTGAGGCCTTGTCTGACCAAGCCCTTTGTATCATTGGGTCACGTTTTCTAATATTTGGGTAACTCTAGGTATTTGGCCCATCACTGTCTGCACTAAATGTAGCTGTGAAACTTTTGTTTAATGTAGTCTTGATAAAGCAACGTCCTAACAAGTGGTTGATGTATGGTTAAAGAATAGAAATGACTGTTAAATAGCCCCCTAAGGACCAGTCTATGTGAAGACTTAGAAATCAAGGGTCAGGGTTAGGGATTAGTGGTTCTTACTTACAAAGCCCTTGAGGATTTTGATTGGTCCACTGACCAGCCAAGGGGAAGTACTTAAGACACACAGGGATAATGACCAAAGCTGCTGAGTGAACCAATGGGAAAGTGGCATCAAGGCGAGACAAAGAACGACAGAGGCAGTGAAGAAACCGCCTATGAGGTTTCACAGAGAGGGGTACCAACAATTTCAGTCTGTTGCAATGTTCGGATTGACACATGTGGCAGTCGCACTGGTGGAAATCCAGGTTACAGAATTCCACAGTAAAAAAAACAAAAAAACAAAAAACAAAACCCAAAAACCAACACATGTAAGATTACTAAATATTTATGCAATGATAATAGTTTCTCTAACAGTTTTAAACGGTAGAGTGGCCATTTTGTCTTGGCAGACATGGCCTTATTAAAGGTAAAAGCACACTAAACCCTTCTTGTTTCAAATTACCTTAAATCAATTACATCTACAGTATAAAGCAACAGAAAAGTGGCCTGTTCAGGAGTGCATGGTGTGACCATGACATTCAGAAGGAAAATAGTTCAGCTTATTATATTTACATTTCTAACCTCAAGGTCCAAAACCTTTCAGTTCACTGAACTCCCGCAAAAAAGTCTTGCTGAGCGTTCCTACAGGCTGAGAGTCAAAAAGACCTCGAATACGAAAGCATATTTCATCTCACGCAGTGACAGCAAAATGAGAGGTTTTTTCACAGTACTTGACCATCTTTCCACAACACACAAGCACAGAAACACACACTCACACACTTGCACTCACAGTTTATTGTCCTTAAACAGCTGTGGCAATATATCCGGTTTCTTTTGATTGCATTTTCTGTATCATCTAGTCATGCATGTACAAACGCATCCAGTTTTTCTGTCTCACTTGTGCCCGTTACGGTAGCACTGCTCCAACTGGACGGCGGCGCTGCTGTTGTTGAAGCCACACACCCTGGGAGCTGTGATAGTGTGTCATTCTGTTCTTACCTCTCACTCCACATCTTGTTCTAACACATTGTGATTTCTGTATGATTAAACCACCTGGAACACATTCCGTGTGTTTATTTCTGTGCGCATGTGCGTTTGCGACTAGTTTTACATATTTGAAGTGGGTTTAAGACAACTTGACTGGTTCGGATTTATAGACTGAGATAAAAAATGAATTCCTTAGTTATTCCTTCTTCCATACTTTTTTCCATCTTCTGAGATAGTTCTCTATCTCCTGTGTTTCTAGTGTTTCCTGTCATCCTCCCATGCATGTCTACTTTGTTCTATTCTTCTTTTAGATGCTTTAATGTGTTCTCATTCCTTCATTTGTACAGACATCCCTCTGTCATTCAATCTATTGCGTAAAGGGAGGGTGTGATGTATCAGTGAGACAGCCTTAATTTGCAAATCCATCAATTAATCTCCCCTTGGTTTCTTCCTCCATCTTCTTCTTCTGTCCCACCCTTCCCTTTGTCATCTGTCATGATCTTAGAAGCCCTGGATGTGGCAGTAGGCCTCCAGTGAGGAGAAGAGGATGTAGAGGAGCCACAGGCTGAAAAACAGCATTGTAGTCAGGACCTTTGCAGTTCGGGGCCCGCCCAGCTCTCCACCGATCTCTGGCCGCCGTCGATACATCAGCATGGCAATGCAGATAAAGGCAAAGATGGTGAAGAGCGTGACGGAGAAGGCCAGTGTGCCAGGGTCCACCTTAAAGGCCTCCCCCTTGCTCTGGTGGTAGATGGCAGCGATGGACCACGCCACCTGTCAAGCATCATTGGAACAGAGTTGAGTACAGAAACGACAACAAACATGGCCTTCATTACGGGTGACAAATGGCTGTGACGGACCATGCCGTCAGTCACACACAAACAACGGCTGTAGTTCGCAGCATTAAAGAATAACACAGATGAAATACCATAACAGGTGTTACAAACAGATGATGGTAATTACCACTGCATTTACACCTGCTATGAACCAGTCAGTCACTCCCTAGGAGAGCTACTCACCCCGATGCCCAGGAAAACATTTACAGCATTGGAGCCTGTCACATTACCAATGGATGCATCTGCATACTGATCCTGGATGGCAGCTACCTTACTGGCAAAGGTATCTGGGTGGAAAGAGACAAGGAGGAAGACAAATCAGACTTGTTATTAGCAGTGTAGCTGTCTTCTCTGATATGATCTGATGATATCAAATGCAAATGTCATTTTATTTAAGAATCTAACAGAAGAAGACTGGGGAAGTTGTTAAACAAGACAAACTGGGTTGGAGTAATACGGCAACCCGTTGTCCATCTTTGTATCAAGGGACACAATCTGTTTCCAGTTTACAGGTTTTTACAGCACATTTCACATTATCATATGTCTTTCTTTTTTCTTGCATCAGGTCAGATTTTTATTAAAAAAGAACAAGAACAGGGAGCTTTTGATAAACACACAACACTTAGACATTAATACAGAACTGTGCAGATCCTATTTTCAACATTTGGGAGGCTTCAATTAGAAACCACACTGTTCAATGCTGTTCCAGTGTTTCGTTGAGGTCACATTCGGTCTAAGATCAAATGATTTACAAGTTGCATCTCAGTTTGGGTGGGCGAAAAAATCTTGGCCTGACAACTAATTAGCGTTGCACTGCTTAGTCCCAAAGTTTTCCCTGATTTTATGTTTGCAAAGCTATGGCAGCTACTTGTACTGAAATGAGCAGCGGTGACTGCCAAATCTCAACAACAGGCTCAAAAGGTCAGTTAGCTCTCTTTCTCTAATGTTCTAGTTGTCCTTTTGTTAAGGATCCCTATCCTCTTGCTTTATCTGCCAGATACAACTACAGCAGATAAAACTGACAGAAAAAACCTAAACAAGAATTTGAGAAAGAGGGGGAAGAACTTTCTTGAAATGGCAGCTAACTGGTGGTGAAAAAGAAGATGACTGGAGCACTGGGAGAGCACTGAGGAGGAGAGAGAGGTGGGAGGG